ACAGTTCAGTTGCTGAGTACACTTTGAACCTAACTCCTTACTTCATGCAAAGATAAAATGTCTTAAAGAAGTATAAACGTATGAGCTTTGAATTTATTAGTTGCTGTGAACTGATTTTATAACTGAGTTTTAATCCTGTCTGGATGGTTTCCTTCTAAGCAGATGTTACATAAACACAGACACATCACAGCCAAAATGTTCAAAGCTATACTGTGGTAGCACGGGGATTTCATTTCATACAGGCACAAATACTCCAAAAAGCAGCAGCAATCATTTCTTCATCATTAATAGCAAACTGAATGAGAAGCATGTGATTGGGTAGCATTTGTCCTGCAGCTGTGGCTTAATAGTTGGGTAATAGTGGGACAGCAAGGACAACAGGATTTCACAACAGTCAGGGCCCTGTTCTGTGGAACCAGGGTTCAGGAGACAGACAGTATCTCTACTTTGAAGACTAGGCTTACAGATACAGCCACTTTAAAAACGGCTGTCTCATCCCTGACAGGACCGTGGGTGGGCGCGTGACGGATTTCTGACCAATTGCCAGCTGATGGGTGGCTGTAATGATACCCTCACCTGGAAGATGCAACCATGGGTGGTAACGTCCCAAAAGCAGCATTTAGGAAAACCGGTGGTAATATCTTGTGTATCCACCAGGGGGCGCAGTGTGGAGGCTTGTTATCCTCCTGAGACCCAGTAATTCATTTTTGCACACTGTAGTACACATTTAGTTTTTGCTTGTAGCTCTCATACTCTACTTGCCACTCTTCTAAGTCCTGATGTTTCTTAGAGAGGACAACAGTACCTTTAAAATGATATCACATGTGTGGGGGTGTGGCCTTGCCAATTGTCTTTTCCCCACCTTTTCAAAATGGTTGGCATGCCCACCAGCATATTTTATGGAAGAAAGAAAGGTAAACTTGATATTTACATCTAAAATGTTTTTTAAAATCAGATTATGATTAATTTTCAAAAATAAACATCTAGTAAATAATTTGAGGGTTTTTTAAGAATTAAGCTTATTTCGTTTCACAGAGAACATGACTAATTTATTAATGTGTGCTCTAGTGCACGTCGGGACTTTGTACTTATATTTATTTCACTTTTTCCTAGTAGACAAC